GGTGGGTGGGGTGTCTTTCTATAACAAAAGTAAATAATGAGCTTAGATCCTATTCAAAGTGTGCACAAATTGTTGCTGTTTGTAGGGTTATGTTTCTTCATCACATTTAATGTGAAATTCAATTCTAAAAAACTTTAATTTTACAAAAGGATAACTTTATTAATGTGACATTCTTTGATTTACACAAATGTTTTTTTCCTTGGTAAATAACATTTTAAATATTTCACAAAAATAATTTAATGTTCTCCTGAACCACAGCTGTTTGTTATATCAGTGAAAGTAAAATAACAGCCATTGTTTTTATTTCTGTAGCCATTTATTCGTAAAATTATTTTTCAGTCACTTTTTAAGTATAAAAAAATTGTGATATTAATCGTGATCGGATGATATGGAAATATTAATCGTAATAATTTTTTTGCCGTACTGCCCAGCTCTAGGAGGTAGAATCAGTTTTTAGCTGCACCTCAGACCATTCTGAGTTTCTGGTGAAAGTAATGTTGCGTGTTACCAGCTCGTTGGCTTGGTCGATGGTGAAAACGCTGCAGTTGAGGCGGTCCTGAAGGTCCACGTGTGCGTCAGCGAGTAGCGAGATGAGCTGCTTGCACTCGTTCTGCATGCGTGTGAAGGGGATGGCGATCTCATCGTAGTACAGCTGCTCTGTCAGGATGGCCAGGAGCCGAGGCTGCACCGTGGTCGACACCGTCTGGCAGTCCTGAAGGAACGACACAAAACTGAATCAGGCCTCCTGGACCCGCTCGACTCCGCCGGACCGCCGGTCCCATTCAGCCTCACCTTCTGCAGCGCCGCCCACTCGCTCAGCACCAGCGCCACGGCGATCCGCTGCAGGGCGGACTTGGTGTTGAGGTGGAAGACGAGCAGCTGGCCTAAAGACTCGGCGGGTCTGATCTCCTGAGACGCAGCGTTGAGCTGAGGGTCGCAGATGCACCTGCACAGAGCGCCCAGCAACCTGCAGTACAACGATAAAAATATACAGACACACTGAAATATCATATTTCATGTCCTGATACTGTATCGATTTTAAGTTGAGGTTTAAAATGTAAAAACTTCATGCAGACAGTTCAGTTTCATGTTGTAGTTTTGCCTCCGACCAGCAGTCAGCTCGCCGTCTGGCTCCTCCCCTCCTGAGCAGCCAGAGAGTATGACCCCGGATTTACACTACATGCGTCTCCGCTGCACTGCGGTGCGCAGCTGTTCGTTTGTGTCTCACTTTATACAGAATCCGCTCCGGTCCGACAGAGAGTGTGGAGGAAGGAGATCGCGCGATAAATGCAGTGATAAATGTCGAAGTCACAGCAAAACATAATTAATTCTGTGAAAGACGAACTCCAAACACAGCTGAAAACAACGATATAAAGTCTTTTGGTGTCCATGTTGAAACTGTCTCGCTGTCGTCTTTCTGAAACTTCTGATTTCAAAATAAAATCCACGTGTATCATGTGTGTACACATATATATGTTTCTATCTGCTTCCCAAACAGAACCATACATTCTGACAGCATTTGTGTAGAAATATATCCATATATTTATTAATAYAGCCGCAATTTCGACATTATTCCGACAAATTATCCAGCCTAAAAGTGTCTTATTTTGAAAATACGGATGCTGTGCTCATTCCTTTTCCTGGTGGTGTGACGTAATCTTTAAAAATTGACTCTGGCGCAGCTCCAGCAGGAAATAAGATCGGCTCTAATTTTGCAGGATTGCCATCAGTTCACCACCGCCCTGCGCAGCCAGTGTAAAACACTCTCATTGATTATAATGGGTGCGTATTTGCTGCGGAGACGGAACGCATGTAGTGTAAATTCCTCGTAACTTTATCTCAAACATTAGCACCATGAACCGAGAGCTGAATCTGAGCGGATTACACCAACACCCACTGTCTTCTAAGCCGAGGTAAGATTGACAACAATCCCCAATTAGCCAGAATGTCAGGCTAATAAGGCTAATCATAATTAAAAAAATGGCAAAATATTGCCTTGCGTACATTATCGCGATATATCGTGACCTCTGTCATGATGAGCATCATGTTGCCAAATCCTAGCCAATACACTGCCCTACAGAAACACACATTTTATTTGACAGGAAGTGAAAAGCGGACTGTTTCAGTCAGGTAGGTTTAACTTACCTTGCAGCCATGAGTCGAGCACGAACCACCACATAGTCCCTCGTCACAGGATCTTCTGTCACCGTCTCAGCACCGGCTATGTACTCCTGAACCGTTTCCTTCACCTGATTGGTCCCTTGGCGTGCCTTCATGCCGCTTTTATCCTGTCGAGACAATGAAGTGAGCACGCGTTACTCTGAGTCAGATTTTAATCTGAAACTCTGACATGAAAAGGTGGAGGCAGATCGGGCTGAACGATTAATCACATTTGAGATAATCTCACAAGATTTTCTAACAGCACAGGCTGCAGTTTGACTGGACACGGGACTTGGGAGTGAGCAGAGCGGAGCAGTGTTGCCAATTAGTGACATTATCACTAGATCTAAGTTATGATTCAGAAAACAACAGAGGATCTGATTTATTTATGACTTTGTCCACAAATTAAAWYMAWWAAAAAAACTGAAGTTCCTGAACCTTGGAGCGGGCCTTGACCTCCAGCAGCATGTTCAGGTCTATAGGAATGTGTGAGGCCTGCATCATGAGGCAGAGCCAGGCTCCCATCCACGGACAGCTGGCTGCCACCACCAACTGCTGCGGGACCTGAGAGAGCAGCTCCATCCACACCTGCACACACACAAAACAAAAAAAAAATCATCTCCAGGCACCAAAACACACTTCAGAGAGTGAATCCAGAGGAATAAATCAATCCCAGAGGAATAAATCAATCATCTTTAAAACAAACCTTTTGTATCAGTTCAAGGATTTCCTCGTTGCTTTCCAGAATGCAGGACTGGAAAATGTGTCGCAGCATATCTTGTAAGATGGGGTTTATCCAAACTGCACAACTCTGAAGTAAACAACAAAACAACAACACAAACAGTTTTTAAACAGCCAACACTAAAACTGACACCGTTTCTTCAGTCTTAGCCTTTAGCTACACTTTGGCTGCTCCTTCATCACAAACACCTGGAGAGTTACATCGGCTGAATTTACCTGGTCGGCCTTGGACAGCAGAGTGTACAGCGTTTCCAGCGCCGCCTTTCTAACCGATGAGATTGTGTGTCTCAAGAACGGCCAAACCCGAGGAACCAGGACTGTGAGCGACTGCTGCAGGCTACAACAAGGAAGACGACGTGTTAAAATATTTTTAGTAACAAATATAAATGACAGGGCTTCTTCCAGAGACTCACCTGCACTGTCGGACCTGTGGATAGGTCAGCAGCAGGGACAGCAAGGTCATGATGCTGTTGGTGGAGGCAGTGAGGTCATCCAGGTCCAGAAGAGCATCCCATAATGTGTTGACRATGAAGGGTACCTGTAAGGCATCAAAATATTCTAAATTTATAAACACGAAGGACAGCAGAAATTATTGAGATGAAAAACAAGAGAACTAATTTGACCTCTGACCTCATTAGGTAAAAGCTGCACTAAACCMTCCACCACTGGGATGAGTGCTGCAGCCGCCACCGCCCTGACATCATCATCCAGGTCCTGAAGGCCGTCAGTGATAGCAGGCAGAACCCGGGGCAGTAAGATGGAAATCAGGTCCTGAGACACAAAATAAAAGATATCACCACTAAAGAAAAATCTCTCAGTTAGCATCACATAGCATCTAATGTGGCACAGTTAGCATCACATATAGCATCTAATGTAGCACAGTTAGCATCACACATAGCATCTAATGTGGCACAGTTAGCATCACACATAGCATCTAATGTAGCACAGTTAGCATCACATAGCATCTAATGTAGCACAGTTAGCATAACACATAGCATCTAATGTAGCACAGTTAGCATCACATAGCATCTAATGTAGCACAGTTAGCATCACATAGCATCTAATGTAGCACAGTTAGCATCACACATAGCATCTAAGTAGCACAGTTAGCACCACACATAGCATCTAATGTAGCACAGTTAGCACCAAACATAGCATCTAATGTAGCACAGTTAGCACCACACATAGCATCTAATGTAGCACAGTTAGCACCACACATAACATCTAATGTAGCACAGTTAGTGGATTTTCTTTTTATCTGTGTCTCAAATTAATTTAAATGGATTAAAAATAAATAAATAAACTTTGTTCCTGTTCATGTATTTTCCTTCTAATCTTACTATTTATTTTCACTAACATGGTGCATTTACACAGTTACAGTCTTCTCATACACATTAAGTGRCGGTACCTGCCGGACAGCCAAGGCATACTTGATCCCCAGCAGGCCTCCGTGGCGGACCTCCCACTGGTCCTCCTTCAGCAGCTTCAGCAGGACGTCCACCGTCTTGGAAACGCCGTTTTCTTTCATGTGACGGAGGGCCACACCCAGAGTCTGAGCGCACGTCTCCCTGACCGGAGCCACCACCTGACAACACACAAGCACAACACGTAAAAACAAACACAACAATACAAAAGATCATCTATGAAGACTGTAAAGTAAGAAAAAAAAAAACACCTCATCTGAAACAAAGTCTCCAAAGCGATCCAAGGCAAACACACAGAGGAGACGGATGACCAGATCCTCGATCCACGCCTGATGCTGTCGCAGCATCTAAACAAACAAACAAACAAACAAACAACGTGAAGCTCTGAACACAATTTGTGAGCCGTGACATCGAAACGAGGATTAAGTCTAAAAGTTGTATTTGGAGAAACAGGCAGATAGTGTTTTGATTAAAACGCTTGCAAAAATTCCATTTTGTCAAAATATATCAAATAAATGTTATCAATGCATCATTTTCAATAAACTTATCCTAAAAGAAATTTTTGAGCACTTTTTTGAGCATTAGCAACAATAAACCCGATTATGAGAAAAAAAAAACGCCTTAAAATGTTATATTATATTCACTGTGAGCTATCAAAGCTTTTGTTTTTTTCCAGCTGGGAAAATCACAATATTCAAATACTTTTGTGTTTTTTTTTCAAATAACATAAAAAAAATCTAGGGCTGCAACTAACGATTATTTTAATAATCGATTAATC